AACACCAAACTTGGAATTATTAAAGAGGAAAAGGTGGTGGGGACGGTATAGCCTAGGGAACAGAAACGAAGCAGGAGAACAGCGTATCAGCTTCTGCTGATCCAGGGATTTATTCATTGCTAACACAGTCTTTAAACAACGCAGATGATGGAGCGCACGGAAATCAGGTTGACTCTATTATTGCTGAAAGGAGGCGGGGAAGGTCAGTGGTAGCATCAAAGACACGGCCAGGCGTGACCGTGGAACAGATCACAAATGGCTTAGACGTAAGTTCCAAGTTAAGCTAAAACGGAAGCAGAAGCCGATCAGTTTCCACTATGTATTCAACCTGTATGCTGAATATATATCAAAGGAAAGTAGTTTGGTAGGGGAGCGTGATTTTAAAACCAGAGGAAGAGACATCAATAACTCGGGCTGTGGTGATGACAGCGATAGCTGAAAATGCTGGAAGCTCTAGGAAGGAAAGTCAAGGAGCAGAGTGGAAAAAATAGGACTCAGTTTAAATATGAAGAAGACCAAACTAATGACAGACACCATTAGTACAGGGAGTCCTCGACTTACGGCCATTCATTTAGCTACCAAAGTTATGACGGCACTGAAAAAGTGACTTATGACCAGTTCTCACACTTATGACCGCTGCAGCATCCCCATGGTCATGTGATCCAAATTAGGGTGCTTGGCAACCGACATGTATTTATGACAGTTGCAGCATCCTGGGGTCACGGGTTCGCCATTTGCAACCTTCCCAGATGGCTTCTGACAAGCAAAGTCAATGGGGGAAGCTGGATTCACTTAACGACCACCACAAAAAATGTTGTAACATCAGGTGCGGTCATGCGATGCCTCACTTAATGACCGCCTTGCTTAACAACAATTTTTCCAGTCCCTATTGTGGTCATAAGTCGAGGACTACCTGTTCCTGTATGGTAACCAGCCTTGGAACTGACAGTGAAAAAATCAAAGTGGTTGAGGGCTTCTGCCTTTCAGGACTGACTATCAGCAGTAGAGGAAGCAGCAGTCTAGAAATATTGTAGAGCAGCCGGGAAGGCCTTGGAAAAGATATTCAGATGTTCCAATGTGTCTGCACCTACAAAGAGCAGAATCGTGCAAGCCATGGGGTTCTCTGGGACCTTCTATGGAAGCAGAAGTTGGACTTTGAAAGAGCAGGAGCAGAAGGGCATTGGCGCTTTTGAACTTTGGGGTTGGGGAAGACCCCAGAGAAGACCGTGGACAGCCAAGAAAACAGACCGATGGATCATCGAGCCAATCAACCCCAAGTTCTCACTCAAGACACCAGGGTCCAGTTACACTTCTTTGTTTTTCATGCCCTGAGCAGTCAATAGGACGATCTTTCGGCAGAAAGGGTCCAGTGCCTTCCAATTTGCGGGCGCCTCAGGTGTCCATGTGGAGTCGACTCATTTCATCTTGCCCCGCGTTGTGCCCCCAGCCTCCCCGGTTCCTCAAGCAGAAAATTCTCTAATTTTTTTCCCATCCTTTATCTGCTCCTTGCCCGGCCTTCTTCCAATGGTATCCCCACTTCAAGAAATCAGGAATCTGTATCACCTTTTCCGATGAACCAATTTTATCAAAAGGCAGAAGCTTTCATGAGCTGCAGCTCACGAAAGCTTCTGCCTTTTAATAAAATTGGTTCGACGGAAAAGGTGATAGAGATTCGTGATGTTTTGCCACCGCAGACAAACACAGCTGTCCTCCTACAACGTCCACTTCAAGAAAGAGAGCAGTGCGAACACCCTCAATCTCCCCTTTCGGACCCCTGAAATCTACATCTCAGAAGCCTCCGAGGCTTGAGAGGTTGCACAGCGAGAAAAGGGGCTCGCAGTTCCTTTTCCCCCGTCTGTCCCCTTTCTGCAATGGGTCGTCCTTCCAAACACCAAATGAGATCCAAAAGCGATGCTTCAGTTCCATTTCAAGCCCTTCGGCGGAGTTCACACACTAAGCCAGAACCGCACAAGTGATTTAGAGGGACGGGGACTGGCGGGGAGGTGGGGTCACCCTTTTTAGAAGCCGATCAGGTTCGTGCACCAAAGTGGGAACCCCGTCCTGATTGGGTCTGTGCAAATCTGCAGCGGACAATCGCCGGTACTGCCAAGTCGGAGAATCCACGTGACGGATTGGATTAAAAATTAAGTCTTAAAAGGAGTGACTATTGCTTGCCCAGCCCCATTCATTTCACTTGGAAGGGAGTTCCTGCAGACTTATCTATCATTTTAGAGGGTGGGGTAGCCCAAAATGTGATTTGAGTGGGTTGGGGCTTAACGGGCAGCCAGCCCCTGTGGTTTGCAAACGATAGTTTAATGTGTTGTGTGGATCCAGCCAATTGTGGCTTATCCAATAAACCCTAGTTAAGCAATCGTGGCTTACAGTCCCACAAGAGCACTGTGGAGTTTGCTTTCAGCCTGCGCCCAGCCAGCTCAGCAACTGTGTGATTTTCATACTGCGAACAAAACAGCCTCACCCGCAAGCTGGAAAAGTCGGAGGCCACGGGAAAAACCGTCGGGCATTTTGCAGGAAAGAAGCTGAAATTTCTGGGAAAGAGCGAGCAAGCAAAGACAGGCAAGGCGGCTTTCTAGCAGAGCCTGGGGTGGATCCGACAGCGCCAGGAGACTGTAGGAGAGAAATCCCTCCAAAGACAAGGGGAGGGCCAGTCCTTAAAATAAGAAAAATCCAGCCTCTGCATTTTAGCCCAGCAATTTTAACCGATGGTGGTTAGCGGTGGCAGGTTCCATTTTAATGCCTGGGAGAGGTTGCGCTGAGCCATGCCAAACAGCTCTCTTCCTCCCCCAGGGAGGGGCCCTGAGGTTCCCAAAAGCTGCATGGCCAGCAGAAAAGGCCAGCAGGAAGCTCAACCGGTTGGAATCCAGTCCGCCAGCGGCTTTAAGGAACGCGAGCAGCTTTGAAGGCGGCAGGGCACGCTTCCGGAGGCAGGGAGGGAAGGCGGCAGACAGCGGCCATGATTTCACTGAGGACTTCTGTGGTCTTTTCTCCTCGGAAGGCAGGGGGACCGCCCTGGCCTGCTTGGCTGGCCACTGGGGGGCTGCCGGTCCACCCCTGGCAGCCAATTCATTAGATGACCCCTGCCCAGCAGCCGATCAAGCCGGCCTTTGCAGTCGGCAATCCGAACGTGCACCCGCCCTGGGCCAGCAATGAACTTCCTTGGCTTCCAGCCCCAACTCGGTTTGGGTGCCAGGCCTGGGGGTTGATGTTTATTATTATTTATTTCACAGCCCCCGTTTTGTCTTGTTGATTTTGTTGTTTATTAGATCATTTCCGTCTGGGCTGTCGGTTTGATGTAACGCGTTTAGCCCTTTTTAAGTTTTATTTCTAGTTTTGTATGCCGCCCGGAGTCCCTTGGAGTTGGGCGGCCAATACGTTTCAATAAATAAATAAATATGATTGTTATTATTATAATAATCCTAGGAGGAATGCAGCTGGATCAGGCCCAGGGGGACCATAAACTCCACTTTCCAACCACGGATCCACTCAATGCCTGGGGGAACGCCTGACGCCCGACGTTCGGGGTACGCTGCTCTTGAACATGGAGAGCCCATTCTCTGCGATCCCAGCTAAGAACTACCTTGCTGGGTTCGGCCAAAACGATAGGGTGCTGGTCCCCACGGACACCAGGGCTCTTCGAGGGGTGGGTGCACATGGGGGTCCGTGGGAACAGAGCCCAGAGAGACCTCCCTGCCCCCAGAGGGCTGAGATCTTTCAGCCACAGAGACAGGGGGCAGGGAAGGCCCTCAGATCTGGATCAGCAAAAGTGACTGCAGCCCTGTGCCAATTTGCAGCTAGCATGGTATTTAGAGTTCAGATTTCACCAGCCTCGCTGAGCCAGAAGGGTGTGGTGAGTTTGGCGCTCGCTCCCTTTGGGCGAGCAGAAAACCCATGGAAGGCGACTGCGGGCAAAGAGGCCGCCTCTGAACCCGAGAAGAGTTGGCTGCCGCAGTGCCAAGGTGGCAGGAGGACAGGCCTGGCGTTCGGAGGGATCTGAGCCCGTGCCCTTCTCCAGAGCGTGGGGGGCCCTTCGTCCCCTTCCCCAGTAACCCACCCGGTGCTCTACCCACTGCACGGCGCCGTCAGGCCCACGAGCAGGAGGCGAGCAGCGGCAACAACGCCTCTCGCTGAGATGTTGCAGTGTCTGTTAAAAAGCTGAGCTGCTGCCAAGAGCGATAAGGAAGGCCACACAACTGATAAGGCCAGGAACGTGCCCATGTGCAGGGCGCTGCGCTGAGAGATAATGAGAAGGGCCAGAGCGTCAGTGAGCCTGACTGCCCTTTAAATCTCCCAATTCTACTCCAGAGTTACCATGGTCTTCCGGCACTCTGCGCATGCCCTGATTCCAAGCTCTGATCTCAGCCTGAAGACCCGGGAAATGGGGGAGGGAGGAGGATCAGAATTTCCCAGGGGGGAGAAAAGGAGGGCCCAACTCCACCCACTTGCAAAATTGCCATCCATCGGGGGGGGGGGGGGGGGGGTTGGAAGTGACCCCCTTGTGGATCTGATGGAGAAGCGAAGAGGGCCAGGACGATTCCAGACACGCACACGCGCACACACGCACATTCACACCCAGGCAGGCAGCAGCTTGCAGGGTGATGAAACAAAGCGGGTGGCACGCCCTGCCCTGCCCGTCTCACCCATGCACCTCTGCCTCACTGCCCCCAAAGCGATGCCGGTGGGGTTTGGGAGAAACAGCCAGGCGTCTAGCCGCCCCCAGCCGCCCTTCTGCCGGCCCCTCCCTCTGCCCTCGCCGTCTCCAGCGGGGCCCCCAGAGGTGCGTGCGGGACTTCAGCCCCCAGGATCCCGAGGCAGCCCACCCGAAGGGTAGCGGTCCCGGGGCGCAAGTCCAACGGGCCCGCCCGGGACCCCAGCCACGACCCCAGGCCGCCCTTGGAAGAAGGCGTGCGCCTCCACCCGGGGCCAGGAGCCCAGGGGGCCAGAAGGGGCCCGGAGCAGAGCTCAGCCCCTAGTTTTTGGCCCCGCCGGCTGGGGAGCATGGGAACCATGGTCCCACCTGCGGCGAAGAGCGCCAGGTGGGCCGCGGCGGCGCAGAGCGCGGCGGCCCAGCCCCCCAGCGCCCCACCACCCTCCCCGAGCCCGCCCCCC